GGCGGAGAGACGGGAGCGAGAGCAAAAGCAGCCTGCCAGTCTACCCGCCACTTCCACACGCAGCGTTAAAAAACCTCAAATCTGCAACAGCCACAATTTTGTGCAAATCTGTCAGTGCCTACAAACCAACCTATCTGTGCTTCCAGAACAGTCTGCTGAAAACATCGTCAGTAGGAAATTAGCCTACTCCTTTCCTGGAGGCACTTGACTGATAGTCCGCGATAAATTTCTGGTTAAAGTTACTTTCAAGCAACAAAACAAGCCCACAAAACGAGGAAGACAACACTGAAGCATTTAACACTTAAATTAACATCACCTTTTCTTCCCCATATACACGAACCTACAGATAGAAGATAAATACCCTTTTTAATAATAGCAGTTTAACAAGGACTAAAACCCAAACAGCAGCAGCACTAAAACCAAGCCTCCTTGATTTTGATCATGCAAATTTAAGACTCTGAATTATGGAAATTTGGTATCTTCTATCTCGGGTGGCTATGGCCTCTCCTCTTTCCAACTGTAATCATGTTCATTATTTTTAAACAATAAAGGGAAGGAAAAATCCATCTATTTGGAAATGAAATTGCTATTGGTAACATTAACTGTAACTAACTATAACCCACTCTCAGGAATGCGGATTACCAGCAAGATGCACTAAGCTAAGTATAGTGCAAGTACAGCCCATTAAAGAACCATCAAACTTTCACAGAATTCACAGATAAATATAAAAAAATTAAACCTCTCACAATATTGACCCCATAAAAACCAACTAAATCAAGTGACAGATGACAACAATCTTCCTTGTTTGCACTTCCAACAATGCATTTCTTCCCCAATATTTACTATTCCCCCTTCTACTTCTAGTACTTAAGGACGGCCTCAGTTTGTCAGTGAATTTACCTAGTTCCCAGTGAAAAATTCAGGGCAGAGGCTCTGATATACATATTTGCATGCTATAAGCAATGTTTTAAAAAGTGTTACTTTAAAAGCTTACAAGTTGAATAAGTGCTACAGTCCAGAAGAAAGAGACGGAGAAAGTGCATGATCAAGAAGCAGGGAATTCTTTACAGATGAGCATGTAAGCAGGTGTGGGTAGGAAAAGGTCTCCTGGGATACAGGCAATATAATGCAATGCAAGCCTGAGTGGAAGAGTACAGGGGAACAATTCTACAAAATATTAGTATGAAGAGGGTTTTGAGGAAAATGTTGCAAAGACAACATAAAGTCTTCCAGGTAATTAAGACTTTGAGTATGACGCAGTGAGAACCAATAGAAAAACGCAAGAACTATAGCAAGCAGCATGAACTGGACAAACGCTGTTAGTTACAGAATTCAGGACGAATCGAAAAAACAAAGCAATGTATAGGCAAAGAGGCAGTCTGATAATCAAGAATAATTGTTATACCTGACTAGATATAAAGAACTCTCTTGCCATGAGGAAAGTCAAGCAGTGGTACAGATTACTCAGGGAGACTGTGCAGTCTCCATCCTTGAAAGTTTTCAAGACCTAACTGCATAAGCCCTGAGCAGCCTGGTCTGACCTTAGAGCGGACCCTGCTTTGAGCAGGAGGGCGGCGAGGATGAGCGCCCGTGGTCCCTGCCAAGCTGAATTATCCTAGGATTCTAAATTTTACCAAGCCTCATCTATCTAGGCTCCTGTGATAAAAAGACAGGACTTTTTAAAAATTAAGAGATCAAAAACAGTCATACCACATTGAAGGTAGTGAAGATAATCAACAGGACCAAAAAAAAAAAAAAAAAAAAGAGGAAGGACAAGAAAAGATAGCTTCAGTTTTAGGAAGACTAAGTTGACTGCTAAAAGATTATTAAAATCCTCCAAAGAAGGGATAAAGAAGTAGTGTAAAAATGAGCAGCACATAGTAGTAGTTTACTTCTGTACCTGCATTACCATGCCTACTAGTGGCACCACACCAGTAATAATACCTCTACCACCGTTACTCTGCTCACTTTGGATTCTATCCCTTTGATTGTAGCACCTAGGAGACGGACTGTGAACTCACTGGGCTGTGCAAACACTGGGTAGCCTCTGCCGCAAGGACAAAAGGAAAAAGGAATATAGGCAAAACCAGGGGGAGCAAGCAAAAAGAAACACGAGAAATGATTTAGTATTCATATCTGCACAAAAAATTCTAGTGAAATCCAAAACAGCAATAAGTGTGTGTGTGTATGTATGTGTGTGTGTAGGGGTGTGTGTATATATACACACACACACACAGATACCTATCACTTCAATCTCAGGGAAATTTATTAGTAACTGCTTATGTCAATAAAGGCAGAATTACAAAGTACAGCATCTGATAGCACAATCACAAGAAATTATTACTTGCAATTCATAGATAAACAGTTTCTCAAAATATGCTAATGTTTTTCAAATAATTTTTGATATTTTTAAGTTTTTTCTGAGAGATCTCATCATCATCAGCTTATGCAATCACATGATGCATTTTTGTTTTTACTCATTCGCCCCAGTAACTTAAATCTGATGCCAACTTCCATCAAATTTAATTGAAAAGTAAAGGAGTCCAAACGATGAAATTCCTATACTGTTATGAAAATTGGTACCTGAGAAAAGATACACAAACTAGTGCCTTCATTGAAAGAGGGGCTGAAACACAAGCTCAGACAAGAGTCCACTGGCAAGCCTGCAAATAAAACACGCAAGTACTACCTTGCAAGTCAGCAGACATGATCAAGTACATCTTGCCTCCTATTCTTACAGGAGATAGGCGCTTGCTGGGCGCAGCGTGTAGGAAAACAGAAGGTATTAGAAAAAGTGAATAAAGGGGAAGGCTATCAGGCATGAAACAAATCCCTCATCAGCTATGTTGCATGTGAAGCAACTTGTTTTAAGGAGCTGTTAGCCGACTATTGAGCAGCCTGAGCAACAGACATTGAGCTGGTACTTGCTGTGTTAACACCAAAGCTTGCATTTATCTTTTAAAGCCTTTCAAAGTTTTTCCAATTTCCACTTGAACATCCCAGGATGCAAAAGAACGACAACTACTGTGGTGCCTTGTTTTCCTTCTTCAGCGTTCAGTACAAATTTTCTTGTGCTTCCACGACTCATTCAGAGAACAAGACACCATAGTTGTTTTTATTGGCTTTTTTATCATGCAATATTAGCATACATTTAATTGTATTAGAATAGCAGCTACATGTTAGCCGAGGCATGGGGACCGATTCTTCTACTTATACGTGTTTGATACTTCCTAATGAATTCACTTTACTTTTTGCAGCACTTATCTCCAGGCAGCCAACACTTTTTAAGGAATCTAGATTCCTGTCTGTTTCTGGTAGTGAACGATGGACGACTTCGAAGAATGGAAAGGAGCGTCAAAGGTCTACGGAAAAAATTCTTTTGAACTTCAGTTGGTGATGTATACCATGGCACTCGTTTCATTTCAGCCATCTCAAAAACAAATATCTAATCGTTAAAAAAACTAGCTATTTTTCCTTCTCAGTTGTAGAAAATTTGATGGTTAAACATTGGTCAGGAACATACTTCTTGTTTTAAATTTGCAAACTTTAAAATTCTGTGTTCTCATCATACAAAAATAAATCAGCATCCCTAGTCTTCTGATATTCATTCACCCAATCCGTCTAAGCCAATGTAGTGACAGTTTACCTCTGCTATTATCTGTCTTTTCTGCTTCTTAAAGGCAATAACTGAGTTATGCTAACAGTAACAGCAGCTTAACAATAACCAGGTCATTAAAAAAACCCAAAAAACAAAAAACAAACCACACAAAACTTTACACAAGAACAAAAGGCTATATATAAACTGGCCCTGGAGAAAGACAGAACTGATACCTGATCTCTAGTTCTTCAAAGGTAGCAAAGGCTTTCCAAACCCACTCTATTAATTTTCCTGAAGAACAATTCCAAAGTCAGCTACCAGACCACAGTCTGCAAATTACCCTAGAAAATGGACCCAACTGACAAGTTATTTTTGCAAAAAACATTAGACCATTATCTAATGGCAAAAAGTAACGAAGAGCAACAAAGAAGTGGATGTTAAAAAGTGTGTGTGCGTGCATATGTGTACGCGTGTATAAAAATATGTGCACCTACAGAATCCCAAGGCATTCTGAACCACATAATGTTCACTGTTGAAATAAATACTTCACAACCAAACTATTCCTCGCTACCTTTTGCCACAGAATTGGCCAGCAACACCTCTGGTAAGACACGGAGAAAACTTGCTCTAGTACATAGCAAGTCCCAAGGTGAAGTACACATCTACTTCAACAAATTGAACTTTCCAATTCATTCATGACTGACCAAATGAAATTAGACTGAAGACTTAACAGACCATAATCCATGAAGTCGGATTTAGTGCTCAGATTTAACAATACACCTTCAAGTCATCATCTCTTTAAATTAACATTTAAATCAGCATTTCATATAAACCCACTTTTAGATACCTGATAATTTGATAAAGACCCCTACCAAAATCCCACTGCAAATATTTCCCCCAAACCTCAAATTACACAATCGTCAATCTTAAAAAAACAAACAAAAAAAAAACCCAAAAACACCAGCAAGCATTCGGTAAAATAGTTTATAACAAGTAAGTTGTTCCAGCTTGTTACTTTTCTTCAAGTCTTAATTGTGAAACTTCTTCTTCTTCCGATTCTTCTTCCCTGCTGCAAAAGCTGCTTTTTCACTCATGATCTCCTGATACTTCCTTTTATTATATCTGAACAAAATAGATAATTTACTTTTAAGCATGGTAAACCACAGTGCAGGAAAAGGTATCAGGGAAAACACTCTACATATATAATTTGCCAAACTGAGTTCTCTCATGTTTTCTATGTGTCAAATTTCTTTAATTTTGTACACTATTGCCTAGGTAAAGGGAAATCAAAACTGGCATTAATGATAAATTCAGGTAAACTTGTTTTTGAAATAAGTTTGATTAAAGAATCAAGAATATTTGCATAATCAATGACTTCTTCGTAATATATGCAATCATGCCTTGAACATTTTGCTAAAACGCTGCTACCAATTGCTCATAGTGGGAAAACTCATCAATATCAATACCGCTATAGATAAGCTATACTCATTTTTATGCTACTCTCTTAACACTTAGACCATCAGCCTCTATTCAACACCGAAGAGGGAGATAGGATTAACACTAAACAGTGAACAGGGTGTACTTATTAAATAGGAGTTACTTGCTCCACTAATTCAGACTCATGTACCTATCCCAATTATCACCGTGAATCATGACTTAGCAGTACTGACACTTTTTATTGCAGGACCAACACCTGACAAATACTTGCACTAATGCTAAAATATCTGGCTGAAGCCCTTGATTAGTCACAGCATAAATTAACCAATCAAATTTCAGAGACATTCATATTTTAAAGTTACTTCTAACAAACACCCTACAAACCACATAAAGTCAGAAAATGAATTAAGATATATTAACTTGACTTCCCAGCGTTAATAATGCATTTACAAGCCTGACGACATTAACCTTTACTATCCCAAATCCTGTACTATTTGCAAGAAAACACCATGTTATGAGGGGAGGCGGAGCGGGACGCAGACTAGCATCAGGTAATAACCAATACAGAAACAGATCAACTAAGGGATCTGCTCCAAAAACAGTAGGTTGGAAAAACAATAAATCATTCACTCATATTCTTCAGGTAAGAATTCTTCTGCAATTTTGCTTCCTATGACAGATGGCAAGCTGGCATGCTTATAAAATGAAATCCTATGAACTTTCATAGAAACAGCATAGGCAGCGCTTTTCTATCAATTATGCCAAAAAAGTATTCATCAATCTTTGAGCCAAAACAAGGTTTATGCATAGACATAAATTACTCATTCAGAGCCCTTGTTTTTGGCACAAGCCTGTGTGGATAATTGTTTTTCAAGTGAACCAGAACAGGGCTGAGTGACAGTCAATAGTGATGACCCCTCAGAGATGGATAAAACTGGTTTATGAAGATAAAAAATACACTTTCTCACAGCCTAATTATCCCCTATCCCTTAGATCTTCTCAGAGGCAGTGCTGTAGAAGTGCCACAACAGACTTATGAGTTTACTTCTTTAAAGTATAAACATATAACAACATATAAGCCGAATAAAAAGTAGCAGCCTAGTTAAAATACAGTTCTCTCTCACATATAGGGTTAGACTTCAAAACCATTTTTAAATACCTTCTGAACTCAGAATCTGCAAGCAGCTCCTCAACAATTGTTCTCTTCCTTTGTTTCTTAGGGATTCGACTGTTGTAAAAGTCTATGGGAGAATCAACCACAGTTCCAATCTAGAAAATAAAAATTATACACAGTCTTACTCTAACAGCGAGATTTAAACTATTCTGCTCTCTCTCTCTCTCTCTCTCTTTTTTCTTTTAAACCCCGATGACAATTCCTAAGACACCTACAGAGATGATCAGAATGGTAGCTTTTTGTTTTACCTGGTAAACCGCAAACTGACATAAAGCAGTGTTTTGTACGTAAAGTAACTTTTTTCCTCATGTTTAGTGCATCAAGAAGTTGGTCTGAGTTTTGAAACTGCATAGTTGTCAACATTGGACTGATACATCAACACTTATCTTCATAAGCCAAATCTAGCTCCTAACTTTTAAACAACTGCGTGGATCTAATGTTTTTGCAAAGCGGGAAAGGAACTGTCTTAACTCTTTCCTATCTCTATTATCATAGTGTTTGTGCTAGATGACTAAACAATAGTTAATCTTGCTTTAATTGAAGGGCTCCACCCTGAAAAGCATCACATTTATGCCAAATGGCACGTTAGCTGGTTCTGATAAGCTACGTTAATAGTGGAGATACACGGAGTATAAATTTCCTGTAGTAAAAACAGACCTATCCACATCTCATTATTTGGAATACATCTGTCCGAGCATTTTCATGCCCAGAAACTTCAAAATACATTCAACAGAATCCAGCCTTTAAAGTGAAATGGTAATATTTTGAGAAATGCATACCATTTTCTCAGGTGTGCTAACCATTCAAACAGACATACGTACATGGAATCAAGCAGAGTTCGACATTTTCTGCAATAACTATTTTCCTCATCAAAAAGCTTCAAGGCTGAAAGCTACAACAGCAGAAATCCTAGCTGATCAACAAGCAAGTTGGCTCTATTTACAATATATTAACTAATAAAATGAACGCTAATTATTTTATACCCTTGTTAGAAAAAGCCAATACTTTAAAAAAAAAAAAAACACAGTGAAAATTAGTCCATTGAGGGCAGAAAATAGGGATTAAGTGGTCAAACATTTGCTCTGTCTTATGAGATCATTTGAAATTTAAAAAAATCCAACACATACACATATATAAACATACAGTTAAGCAGTTCTAAACTGCAGCCAAATAATCAAGATCCTATAAGAATTAAACTATGAAATTAAATCAAAAAACACGGAGTCCACCAACAAATTAGGTAGGGAATAAGGATAACTACTCAAAACATCAGAGCAGTAGGAAGATGCCTACTTCTGCTTTCTTACCTGGAAGTATTTCGGTAGACCTTCTCTGTCATTCTTTTTATAAAAATGCTTAGGGTCCAATGAAGCTCTCATCTTCAAAACCTTGAGATCATTTTTCAGTTCACTTGTGATTTCTGGGGCTTTCATACCAAACCAAGCATTACCAGTTGTTTTCTCTCGCTCCGCCTAGGATGCAAGGGGAAGAATAATCAAACTACATTCAACAACCAGGACAGGATAGAGGGCTCCTCCTCATGTCCCTCACCCACAAAGATGGATACAGCATTTACAATATAACTTTGTACCTTTAGAAAGTCTACTTCATGACTCTTAGTAGTAACAGGTTATCAGCGCTGCATTAACCACAGATTTGTACTACATGAGGACGTTACCTTTCACTTCAATTTCATGGTTACTTCAAAGGCTGAAACAATGCATTATGCAGACAGTGTTAGATATGTAAAAGTTGTTCTTTTAAGAACCAGAGAGAAAACAAAACTTGAAAGAACTCTCAAGGTTCTATTAAAAATGCGTGTCTAATCAATGCTGTAGTTAAGGCAAGCGAAAGAGGCAAGGATCCTCCTCAGGTCCGACATCGTATCAGAACCGACCCTTCCAAACCTCTGACTGACACAATTAGCAAACAGATTTTGCTTCCACAAGACTGCTTTTCACAGGACTGCTCTAGGAAGACCCTAACTTGCAGTTTGTCACTCCTCTACCCTGTGAGGCCTGTATGCGCAATGTAATGTTTTGTCATTTGAGGTGTTATTAGCTCTTCGCTCACCTTGCGCTGTTTCTTCAGCTGGTGAAGGGACTCCCTAAAGGGTGGAACACATTCCTTTTTTTCAAAATCTGGAGTTATTATACTCTTCTGCAAGAGCTGTAAGGGAAAAAAAAAGTTTTTAATAATATCAGACAGTTATATGGTAAGAATTTTACTGCTGACTTGTATTAACAGAAGCTACCAAAGGAATGATGCAGAATCTAAGTAAGCATTAAAATAAAACACGCTTGAGTTGAGAACAGCCTCGAGTCACAAAGACGACAGTAGTGAACTTCAAAAAGAAAGAGGGAGCAGAATTCTGGCCAACACCAGAAAGCAGTTGGCTAGCTTTGGAAGAAATGAGATGGTGAATACAACAGAGTAAAAAGGGCTATCGTGGATGAGCTTAAGAAAACGGTATCAATGAAAGCAATGCATTCTCTTTATCTCAAAAGTGCTTTGAAATACTATCACTAATCCCGTATTAGGAATGGTACGGACCTGATCTTAGCGCAATTTATTCTGGCTAAGGAATAAATACCTTGTTAGCAGACCTCTAACTCATGTACTGTTAGGTAAAGCTACAGACATAGTTAAGGTCTCTTTATTCTACAGGATAACTCTGTTATTTGCACTGCTTTTCAGTTTCCTAAATGTCACATATGTTTAAGTTATCATCATTAAAATCAAAGGTATATACACACTTTGGCAAGAAATAAGTTCTCAGCAAATTAGGAAAGCAGGATATGTCTTTAATAAACAAGCATAACAATTATTAACATCTTTGTGTTACCGTAGTCACAGATAACTGCGCAATTGTAAACACATTACCTCATCCTTCTTTTTTTCCTTCAGTCGTTTAATTATACTTGAGTTAGGTTTTTGGTTTTTTGCATCAAAGCTAATATATAAACCTCCAAGCTTCTTGATATTCAAACCGGGATCTATGCTGCTGGACAGATGTAAACTGAAAGAGAAACACTTAATGACAAAATAAAATTAACAAGCATGTAGCTGAACCTTCTAGTGTCCCCTGAGAAGTATAAACACAGAGAACATTTTCTTCTCTCTGATTAGGTGCAGTACTGCAATTTTTTTTTTTTTAGGTCTCCGTACCTAAAATAAACGGTGTTAAATAATTAAGATGGGGGGGGAGGGGCAAAAGGTATTATATGAAGTGAATATTTATTAAAGAGCACCACCAGTGGAATCTCTTCTAAAAATCTTTCAAGCTGTATCCCTATCTTAGATATTTCTTTTATAAAACTGAATTCTTCATTTGCTTGGCCTTGTAAAATGAACTCATGCCCAGCACCCTTCTACTATACGTTTAATAGTTTGCTAGCAAAAGAGGGGGAAAAAAACAAAGAAAAAACCCAAACACATAGGAAGAAAAAACATTTTCAATTCTTAATAAAAAGTATGAAGAGATGAGAATTCATCAGAGAAATGCTGAAGCTAAGTCCTTGTCTGTATAATACTCCTAGGAATAATGTTAATAAACAATTCAAAGCTAGTACGTCTCACAATTTTTTCGTTACTTCGTCAGTCAAAGGAACAAATTTGTAAACAGTGAATGATGGCCCACTCAAAAGGAGTTTTTCGATGACAAGAACGAGTAATAAAGTATTATGAAGAAACATCCTAATATCTAAACAGGTACAACAGATATTTATCGTAGCTTGAATGTTTATTAATACAAGGCCTGTATAATTTCACATTAAACTATGAACTAATCTCCTGTGATACCTTTACACTGAATGCCTGTCTGAATTGTTGTACAACTTCCTGTTTACCTGAATGTTTTTGAAAGAGTAAAACTTATTTACCAGATGTAACGGAATACTATGTTTTAAACATACGAAGCATATAAAGGGGTTTGAACTGGGGGTTGGACCAGATGAGCTCCAGAGGCCCCTTCCAACCTGAATTATTCTACGATTGTACACTGAGCTGGTTTCATTTGAAGTGTTACCTTCTCAGGAAGGACTGAAGGAATGTAAAGGAAGAACTGAAAACATTGAAGCGTATAGCATTAATAAGGATTAAAAAGTATGACCTAATGAAACTAGGCATAGATGATTTACTGGACTTTGATTTTTAAGCTGAACTTATGCCAGGCCAGCTAAAGCAGCATCTCTGGGGGCCTAAATAGTTCAGAGACTTCTGTCCTGCTATATGGTAAGCAGAAAAAATAACTGAATTCAAGTTTTGAATGTGTGTGTGTGTATGTATGTATATACCTATGTGTATACACACATGCACATATTTAGGTGCCTAATATATATAATTCTATTTTATAATCTGAACAACCCTAGTTTCACGTCCGTGACTTTTAAGACACGACTCCTTCATTTATTCCACATTGTTTAGCACTTTGGTACATATACTATGCATTTGCCTGAATGAAACGCAGATTCTTTATTCTTCCAAAGATACTTACACATCAATCTTATTTTTCAACAATTCTTCTTCCTCATCTTTCTCATCTTCATCTATCAGTTCCTCTTCAGCCTCTTCCAGATCTGAGGATTCTTCAACTTTTTCGTTTCCTCCAGGCTTACTTCCAGCATCACTAACTAGGTCTACCGAATCTAGATAATATTTTTGGCTAGAACCCATGCCTGGCTCAGTATCGATTACAAAAAGCCTTTCAGCATGCAGTGAATTGTCTTCTAAAGATTTCTTCAGGGAAGGGGTCCTCTCATCTGCCTCTACGCAACTCAGATCCTCTTCCACTATACATGTGTCTGCTACATCGCTATTTTCAGATTCATCGCTTTCATCTTTGTTCAGGAACAACGCAAGAGAATCCTTTTGCCTGTTTATTCTTTTGCTGCCATGGGATACAGGTTCAGTATGTTGTCCTGTTTGGTCTTCATCACTGTCTACGCTGAATTCAAGCATTCTGGATTCACCAACAGTGCTATCGGTCATTTGTACAATAGGTATGTCCTTCTGTGGGCTGCTCACTACACTAGATTGCTTACGCGTGGTTAATTCATCAGCATGGCTTAAAGAACCCTGTGCAGCTGCCTCAGCATCTGCTCTTTCCTGCTCTGGAATTTTTTTACTTTTAATTGGTGTTATTTGCCTTTGGGATTCTAAGGATTGTTTGAGACTCATGCAGTCAGCCAAAGCAAGATCCACGCTTTTTAATTTTCCCCCATCCATAAACACTGCACTGTGCTCTTCTTGTATCTGACCACATTCGTCCTTAGAGTCATCTACCCCAAGAGTCTGTATCTCTTCTATTGCTTTTTTTCTAGGCGATTCAGTGATACTTCTCTGTGTTACTTTTTCAAGACTGCTGTGTGTCGTATCATTCAAAAAATCTTTTTCCCCATCTTCACTCAGGCTTGTACTGGCACATCTGGAAGAGTGTTTGCTCTCAAGTGAACTAGGTTCTTTATTATCCTGAGTGAGAGAGGAAATGTCTTCTGTGTCAGAGACACATTTTGCAGCAGGTCTAGAATCAGAAATTGTTATTGGCTCACATTTAACTGTACCTTCAATTAAATTCTGATCTTCTGAAACAGTTTTGTTTACTTTTTCAGTCTGCTCAATATTTTCTGCTTGTGATTTCATTCGCATGCTCCTCGTAATTCGTTTGGTAGTGACAGATGGTTCCGTAAGAAAACGGCATGACTCCGCATCAGAAACATCTTCGCCCTGGGCTTCACAAATTGGATCTGAACGCACTTTCTTTTTGCTTTGTCTGCTTCTTGTAGTTCTGGTAACATTAGGCATCTGGACACCAGAAACAGCAGAAGAACAAGACTCAGCTTCAGAGACATCATCTTCATCTTGAGTCCTGCTTAACTCATTTAGAAAAGCTGTCTTGTCATGCCTTTTTTTGGCAGGAGAATCTGGCTGATATGGAACTACTATTTGTCGTCTTCTTGTTACCCTTATAAACAACGGTGTCTGAAGACCAGACACAGAGGAGCAGTTTGATTCTGCTTCTGACACATCCCCATCAGCTTGTGGTTCAGCAACTGATTTTGCAACAGTTTTGTTCTGACTTCTAGTCATTTGCGTCTCTAAGGTATCGCTGACATCTGATTTTGTTTCTGTATGTTCCAGCTCTTCAAGTTTAGATTCATGAATCACCTCTGGCCTACAAGTTGCTTTACTCCTTCTTCTAGTCATCCTCATAGATACAGGAGTACTATTTTCAGCAGATGCCATCTAGAAAAAGATTGAAAGAGTCTGCTATTAACAAGCAAGAAAAGCCCATAGAAAGGATGCTTTACTTATCACTAATGCTTTTTTAAACAAAGCTGGTCAAGCTGATAACATATTATATCTCTTAGTAGCCCTATGTCCATTGAAGAAGCGTTACTAATCCATTCCTACTTTACCCGTTTGTCTGCTGTCTTCTGACCAACACAAGAAAAGAAAACCACTCCCATTAAGAAACATAAGTTAACCCAGATATCCTCTTATCTAATTTTAAAAGGTTCTAGTAAACTGTCATGGGAAGCAAATCCAAAGGTAATGTTCGGAAACAGACAAAAATTTGCCAAACTATGAAACATTCAGGCCTAGTAACAGGTAGAACATCCCCCGAGATTGTTGCCATATAGAATTTTAGCTGTATTAGCAACTGACAGGTCTCCAACCCTAATTATAAATAGCTTCTTGAATGAAGCTTTTATGTTACCTGGAAGGCAGCTGAAAATTTTAGGAGAAAAACTGCTCTGTTGCAGGCAACAGCACTCTGCAATAGCAAGCTCCTCCCCGTAAAACAGAATAACGTTGGGCCAGCAAAACCCCTGCTACCTAAATAACAACCATTCACATGACAGTTATTTGCGTGCCTAGTGCAAAAGCCACGGGGAACTGCTAAAATAACAGCAGCGCAAAGAAAAAAAATTGCCCCAGACGTTGCAACGTTGAAGGGCTTAGCGAGGGCTGCGAGCCGAGCCGAGCCGAGAAGGAGCATCAGCAGGGAATAAGACCTACTTGATACTTTTAAATACTTTTTTTTTATATATATCTCTATATCATGATTAGTGCTTACATATTCTTAAGAACAAATTGAATTTATTAAGGCATGTAAATAATTATTCATTTTTTAAATATATGACCTATAGTAGACAGGTGAGAGAAATAATCCTTTTTCAGTTTTGTACAAGGTAAGTTAACCTTAAGGCACAATAGTGCCAAATTTTCACCTTCACTGAATTTAATCAGGCCCCGCCCCTTCCGCGCGCACTTCCGGCGGACCCCCCCGCGCCAGCGGGAGGCGCCCCGCCAGCACCGCCCTCCGCCGCCGCGCAGGGACAGGGACAGGGACAGGGACAGGGACTCGAGCTTCCCCGCTCGCCCCAGGCGCAGAGCGGCATTCCCTAAAGGGAGGCCTGGGAGAAATGACCACCCTCTGTATTATCCCCCTTTGGGAAAACAGCCGCGAAGGTGCAGATAGAAAATAGCACAGTTTCAGCAGACCAGCAACCAGCTGGAACAAGTGCAGTGCCTCTGCTTTGCCAGAGAAAGCCAATTAATGTTTCCCACATTAATATCCAATTCAGTTTAATGAACAAAATAGGTAAATATTAACACGCTTTCGGCAAGAAGAAACCAGTATATTACACGTGGATCTCCATTTCCTTCACACGGACTGATTGCTCTAACAATGCAATCCAAAGAAAGCTGGTTATAAAGACATAAGCATAGAGGGGGGAGAAAAGAACACTTGACATACTAATGTACGTCTTCAGTGTTGAAGCATCTGATTTTTTTTCCATACTGTTAAAATTTGTGAATGGGGTAATTTCAGATCAGTAAACCATCCAACAGGATGCAGTCTCTATTAATATAGAGTAGTATATAGTATCCAAGAGTATGCAGTCTCTATTAATAGATGCCATTTCACGATAAAGTCACAGAAAGTGTAAAATGCTATCACTGAGATATTCAGAATTCATGCGAAGCATAGATGAAAAGTGTACATAAAATTCAAATTTTAATTTTTTCATGAGAGATTTCCTTTCATGAGGAACATATTAATGCAAAACAAATCAATAATCAGATAACCTGATAAATTGCTACACTATCAGTGACCTTACAAAAATAAGATCATCTTCTCTTAAAATGTACTTTTCTATAGCAAGAGAACTGTTAATGGTTTACAGTAAGGAAATAATCATCCCATTAGAACCACCTGTACATTGTTTTTAGCACAACTCTTGTTTTGTAGTATTTCAATTTGTAAAACTGAACACATATGCGAGTCTAATACAATACAGGTTGTCAACAGTCCACCACAGAAACAGAATTTACAAATAGTGGTTAGTCATCAGCAGCACACAACTCTAGGCCGGCAGAGAAGTTTGAAGTGAACCTCATCTTATTTTGAAAGCCTGATACACACAGACCCTGCATAAAAGACAACTAAATCTTGATTAAGAGAAAAAACAAAAAACCCCAAACATTTTCTTGTTGCATTACTAGTTCCAGTTCCCTCCGTTATTTAACGAAACTGAAGTAGTCTAGGACTTCCTGAATTTGCCACACACAAATAAGATACTCTAACCTTTATCAAAATATTTTTGAATCCTCATGTTTTGAATTAGTGGAATGACTATAGTAAGTTGGTACTTCTAGATAGCGCCTACAAGCATTGAAATTCCACTAGTTGCCTACATAGTGAAAGTTAGTTCCCTCACAGTCCAAAGCTCAAAACATGTTAAACAAAGTTAACAAGTTCCAGCATAAAGCTCTATTACTATCTGAAATCACTAGGAAAATGCTTGAGGTTAGAAACTTTGTATCAAGCGCCTGCTGAATTGCAGGTTGAATTTCTGCTATCTGTTCCGATTTAAAGGCCTAGGAAATGAAAACGCCTATTGAATAGAAAGACTATATGAAACCAAAAGCCTTGCCTTAACTGCAGCACTCTCTCCAGGATTTAAAAGCTAGCAGTACAGTACATAGTAAGCTAGCACCACAAAGAAACATACGTGGCCTCACGCTAAGGCTAGTGTCACTTCTGAATGGCACTCAAGCAACAAAGTTTCCCAGGCAACTCCAATGTCAGTCATCCACTGTATATAATGATACAACCAACAGCCTCACATTTATCATCTCTTCTGCGGCTCCTGAATATCAACAAACAAGCCACAGTTAAGAATAAACCAGGCACATTATGATTTTCAATCTCCAAGGTTTTTCATGACTTGTTTCCAGCTCTTAAACACCCACACAAGAATACATTTTCTATTTCAAACTGTAAAGACGTCATCACCCTCGTACCTAAATCACATATGGAGGCACAAAGAAGCCAGAAGGAATTCAAGTAACACTCAAAGTAATTTTGAAGACATTTTCTCCCCGCCCCCCGAACCACAGATGTCTTTTATATTGTAGTGAAAATAAATCAGTTTTCCCATCCACCCAAATAAAACAGCTGACTTGCTTATAACCAAGTAATAACGTACCAACTTAATTTTCTCAGATAATTTTTCATGAAAGATGAGTTATCTATACAAATTAGTCTTTGAAAGTCTGAAATCTGGGTGCCTACCAGGCTAGTAGCTATTATTTTAAAGAAATTCAACCTGTTAAAAAATAAAAATATACAAGTTTCTTTAGACTATATTTTAGCTACCCTCAGGTAGTAATAGCTTTACAGTGTAGTGGTCATATAAAAGAAAAATACTTTGAACATTTTCTTTATAGATCATTTCAGTTAGAAAACAGTTTAATGGAAACAAAATATTTCATATTTTAAATGAACTGGTGAATAGGTTAAGAAAAAATAATATTAGAACACTGCAGACAGACACTCTTGCTGACACCCATTTGAAAAATTACAACTTTTGGTCTTTGTTACAGCTGTTGTGAAAGTCTTCCTACAAAAAACAAAACAAAAAAACCACACAATGTTCCCCTTGTCACCAAGAAATTCAAATAGCAAGCTATCGTAAAAATGAGGAAGTGTTTTAAGAGACATTTTTTTTAGCTTGTAAGATATAGCCTTTGGACTTGATAATTCCTCTGCTTTTAACAATGACTGAATACCGGAGAAGCCATAAAGGAGTCCATTCGTGGGCTTTCGTGTTCTGGATGCTTTCCTGAAGAACTTCTTGGAAACTTGCTTCACAAAGCAACTCTAAAGTTAAAAAGGGATATTCAAGCTTTAAATAACACCACGTAAACAGCTGGAAAAAACAGCACTTAGTAAGAAAAGCTTCTGCCCACAGTCAAATATCTTAAGCAGTGCCAAATAGCCCACAGATCCATTCCTCTGGAATAGGGCATAAGTTCCTGAATATTAAAGAAGAAATTTGCGACACTTGTTTTTGCCACATCAGCAGCAACCAGAACTAATTAACTGAGACTTACACAGTATCAAGTGGGGTCTATCAGCACAGCCATTAGCAGGACGTACCATAAATTAAGTTTGAGAAGTCAGATAGACTAACCAGAGGTGAGTAAAGAGTAAGGCTGAAACCAAAGTACTGAGCGTTCTCAGTTACCTCTGCAGTCAATGGAAGCTCAACTTGTAGAACTTCTCCCATAGCTGGGCTCACATGTGCAAGCCCAAAGAGCATATATTAGCCTGCTGCTCTACCAATGCTTCTATTGCACCAAAATTGAGAAAAACGGGCTTAAATGCCCTTGAAATATCACAAAGCAGAAAAGATAAGTACAAATCCTGCTTGTTTCCTCTTTAAAACAAACAAACAAACAAACAGTCAAAGGAACAATCTCTTTCCAGAGGAGAGTTCAAGATAGTCACTCAATACTGTTTAGCTGACAAAAAACAAAAAAGTTAACATTAGCAAGCAAAACAAGAAAAAAAAAAAAGAAATTCACTCCTTGCTTTGTTCTCTACCCTAAACCCTCTCCTCCATTTCATGACTTTTGATAAAGTTTTTTGGTTTTGTTTTGTTTTTTTTTTTAAATAGAGTATGAAATTGCAGGTCATAGGACATACGACTTCACAGGACATAGAAATTGCCAGATAGAGTTGTCATTCATCTTCTATGCTGCAGGGACAAGTGCTGATATGCGCTCAAGCACTGATTAAATTGCTTACTAATGACAGGGGTATTATAAAATGTGTAATTCACCCATATTGTCATATTTTCTCCTTTTGGGGGCGAGGGGAGAGAGGGGAAAGAAGAAAAAGTATGAACATCATGAACAGCTGGTCATGAGGAAGAATGCAGTCAGGAAACGAGCAAGATATTGCTCAAGACTTCTGGTTTACAATTCCAGCAACACATTTAAAGTACCATTATAGTAAGGAAAATTAGATAAGGTATAAGAGAAACTAATGCAATATCCCACAGTATCCTAATGAGCTGGTAACTGAATTCTAGAGTCTAAAGAAAAGTCTCAAAGTCCTTTAATCATTTAAAAAAAATGAATCAGTGTTCTAAACAAGTATAGAACTTATACTCTTTTCGTAATAATGCAACTTTAAAAAGTCACTTCTTTGAAAGTGTCCTATTTAATGTTAGGCATCACAGTTGCTACAGTTTACTAAACTGTCAAAGTCAACTGACGATGAATGTTACTTCACAAGCTGTTTCAAAGAAAGTGTCTGCAAGTATCTTTCATTTGTTATTTATTGGGCTTCAGTAACACAATTCACTTAATTCTATTTTTTGCTGGAAATAAGCAGTTTTTTTGAACAGCATGTAGCACATAGTTCTCAATGCTTTGTTCTATTTGCTTTTTTATCCTTCAGTTAAACTGTTCCAAAAGACTATCCCATTCTGGAAGACTGCTTTTATCTTTCTAGAAAAACTTTATAAATATTTCCATTAAGTTCTTAAGGTATACATTTAGAATTCTTTGTTCTGATTCAAATGTAACAATGTTCGAAGCTTAAAGAAAAATTATTCCTCATTTTGTACTGAATAAATGTACTAGAAGTCTTCCATTGAGGTATTTGGTAAAGTCTTACCTTTTGGATCATTGTGAGTTAATAGCTGTATGTCAAATTGTTTTGCAAATGCTGTGAGATCAGGTGGCATAACACAACAGGAAGCTAGGTTTACCTGGTTACTACTTGGTTTCACCTGAAAGTAACAGAATACTTTTATAAGACAAAAGCATATTAACGTACTTTTAGTACAACTACTGTAGTTGTTACTAGATACGCTCCACTTCAACAGAAGCACTGCCTGACCAATTTGCCTTTGATTGTCGTTTTGAGGTCTGAAACTTAAATCTGCAGGATGCTGCACTGGCAATTCCTTCATCTGCAGTTTTCTACAGCACAAGACCCAAAACAAAGATAGAAACTAATGTCAAAACAGTCACAGTGAAACGTGTACCAACGCATTCTGGCTTCGTGTCTGCCGCGCTCCCTAAAGCGGCAGTTCTTTTTTCTTCCTAGCAAAAACATTGTGGGGGCTCTAGACTGTAGATTGGAAAAGATCTCAAATTAAAAATCCAAGTATTTTGTTAAGGATAAGTGGTCATGAACGTCCCCCAACTGTTCTCTTCTCAATATATGCAACAGTGATGAGTACAAATCAAGATTCTTAGTATGACCTCTTAGACACAGTATGTTCACAAACTGCAAAAGAACAAAAAATGGAGGATCCTCTTATTTAGGAAAAAGAGGATCAGGAAATCAGGAAAAAGTAAATTTACAAGCTCACACAAACATACTACTACACACCTCCATCACTCAAACATGACGAGGCAATCAGCCACACTGGACAAAAAAAGTCATACCACTTGATTCATAGTCTGCCTTCCTCCTTACACTTAAGCTTAGCATTCAAGCAGCATTTTTCTAAAGCTAAATCCTTCCAAGAATAAAAGTGAAAGTAAAAAAGGCTATGCTTGTAGATGGTCACTGGAATAAATACAGAAGTTCTTTCAAAGTACTATCTATATTCCTTTCCAATACTATTTATAATTCTTTCCAATTTTAAGAGCATACAAAATTCAAACCTTCACTACTTCGAAGAACCTGCTACTGAACAAACCCACAGTTTCCAAACTTTGCTAGCTTTCATGTAAGAACATGGAGCAAGTGACAATCACACTTGGAGCCCACCCACCACCTCAAACATCGTGACCATCAGTAAGGTGCTGAAAATACAGCTAATAAATATTTTGCACGTAAAATCATTTACCATATAAGTTTATAACAATGTGGCAACCAACATAACTGTCTCAGAAATGCTACAAATAGGAAGTTTCTCACCTGTGCCCACAGATACAGCTGCTCTAACAGTATTTTATCTAAGTCAGAGGTACCTATGGCAACAATCTTTTTGTTTTGAACTAGATTTTCAAGTTCTTGCCAATAAGGTTGTAAATACTCCAAGGAGAGGCTAATTCCATCTTCAACAGGAGGCGGGGCGATAATGACAGAATCTAACTGAGCAACTCCAAGAGCAGAACACGCTGAGGAAAAAGACAGAACAAAAATACTGCAAAATTGTGTTCAAGACAAGAACATAAATACCATGACACTTCAAATCCCACAAAAACATACCCCCTGTTTCCATTCTGTTAAGTTTCCAATTCACCATTTCAGAACTTTGGGAGTATCTGCAGTCAAGGACAGTAACACAAAGTTTTTAACAAAGAATCAAAGACAGAGCCAAAGGCCAAGTTTCAATTAGAGGTCTCACAATAAATTCAAACACAGCCTGAAGCTCTTTTCTCCTCTTCAATGTTAAAAATATTTTTCTTCAAGACAGTAATGACAGATAAAATTATTTATTCCACCACCCTCAATTTCTTCCTAAATTCATAACCTTCTCCACCAATTATAACCCAAATACAGGACATACATTGAATATATTTTCTAATCTATGTGAGGAGTTAGATGAAAAAACACCCTATTATGAAGATTTAAATTGCAAGAGAGAAGTGGCAAGTCTTGGAGCATCACAGAGCTTTATAAAGGATGCAACTCATAAGGCCTCCTCTGCATAGTAAAAAGAATAAAGCTAAGTCACTAAATAAAATATTTTCTCTTGCAAGATGATACAACAAATGATACAACAATTTAGAATAAAGACACTATCAACTGGGGTACTGCTAGAAGAGAATGATGCCTGACATTTTTTTTTTTTTTTTTAAAAAAGGAATCTCTCAGGCCCAACAATCTTCCAAAGTGGTAAAGTTCAGTACTTGTGCTGCTCACAACTATGGCTACGGTAGACAATAGAACTTCAGACATCAGTACAGCCATTGTATTTTATTTTCAGTAAAACTTAAGTATTTAGTCAGCTGCTTGTAGCACTGTTTTATTTCTCAAATAGCAATCTCAGAAATACCATGCAGTTAGTAGTGAAGTTCATACTGTGTTTAAAAACTGGCAATAAACAGTGGCAGGAACTTATAATATCACTGTTACTAAAACATTGTGTGCTATTCGTTATTTAACCAGTTTTGTATGAAAGAATAAAAATTTGCTCCTGCTTGGAGCAAGGAATCACAGTTCAGTTTACGGATCCAAGACTATGGGGGCTGGACGGGGTATCCATATTTATTAAGCTTAAGCAATATGACTTTTTTCCTCCAAATTACTAAGGTCCCGTCTCTAGAGGAAAACAGAACATACTTGTGACAGCCACTGAATATACCTTTCAGTTGGAAAAGCTCTGAGTTCTACTTCTAAATAAAGTCAGAATGAAGCCCTACTAGACGTTTGAGTTTCACACTTACCCATGCCAACTGCATCTCTGATTGATGAAGAGTTTGATCCAACGATGAAAAGTTTTGCTATTTTCAAAGAAACTGGAATCAATAACTAAAGCCAGCTATTACCAAATAAATAAGTATTTATTACTTTTGCTATTTACTCTGTGTATGAGTTCTTGGGTAAAGGGTTCTTAGGAGCATATACCAGCCACTTCAGAAAATTGAAAAAATTGTTCTGAAAGGTGACCACCTAATAAAGACACTGTTCTCTTCAATTTGAAAGTCATTGTATAGTCTCAAAATAGTAAGTCTCAAAACAGGAAATCACCTAACGGATGATCTTAATAAGCCATAAAGCTAGGATTCAAGCATTGAGACACTAAATGGTAATCATAACATCCTGTTTAAAAAACCCCAAACACAACAGTACAAACAGACCTCTTCACAACTTACTGAGACTCAAAATGTACTAGTGTTAGTTTGGACTGCCTCCTTCAAGCTCATCATATTCAACCTGGAAAAATTATGCAAATAAATGTGCTTCCAATGCTATCTCTTAATTGCAGAATTAACTGTAATAATTTGTATCAGAAAAGTCAACTAAGGTTCATAAAACACATTTAAGATCTGCTGAGAGGATGAAAATTAAAGTAGAAAAATGCTGAGCTGTTAATACCCAAAACATTAACTCAAGAATGTCATGGTCAAATTCTAGATTACCCAAAGCAAAGTATGACAGCATGTATTACTGTTGTTTCACTCAGCAATTACAAAACAAGAAAAATATATGAACACCCTATTAATAACAGCATACAAAACTTTTATTTAAATTACCAGATTTATCCTTTGGCTCTGTTCTTACCTGATACTTTCAATTCATCTCTTTCTTCAGGATTTATTTTTTCTATAGCTTGAGCTACAGTACATTCCAGAACCTCCGGTACTTCCTGTAGTAAGCATACTAGATTTAGGAGCAACTCATCACTAGAAGACAATAATAAGTTTCTGAGGAACGCTTTTAAGTAATTCAGCAAAAAAGCCCTGCATCACAATTAAAAATAAAAGTAGTATAAAAATGCAATGACACAAAGAAGAAAGCAACCCAATGCTTCTTGGCCTCTATGAGGAGAGCAGAGAAAAATAAAGATCTATGGAATGACCTATATGCTCCCAACACCAAAAATATGAATTACTGATAAGTACTGTTGGAATAAGCTTTAGTAGAGACCTGCTTTTCTGATGTGAACAGATCACCGACAATTCAAAATGCCTTGTTAAAAACAAGAGAGAAGGAAAGGGGAAGAGAGGAAAAAAGAGAACCCTCATAACCAGTTCATTCACTTTAGAAAATGCTCACCATCAGAACTAGTTGCTTGGGGTGTTGGGTGGGAGGAACTTTGCATAATAGTATTTTATAATTTCAGTGAACCCTAATATGAAAATGATGAAAAAAATCAGATCGTTTTAAAAAACTATTTTATAAATTAACTATAGTAAAAATTAGGAAAATGGCAGATTTTACTGTGTCCACATCTAGGACTAGACTGAAACACTATGTCAGCTGGTAAGAGGTGACTTTTCTTCAGGCTTTATCTACACAAGGTTTGCACTTTTCTACACAAGTGTATATATATAATAGATATACACAATATACATATA